GCCCTCAGCACAGACTGGCATCCTTCGGAAATGGCGGGTGTGCCAGACTGTCTTTCGGAAATGGCGCTATCAGTCTGCACACCCGTTCTTCAGTTTTTGAGATTGTGAGTTGGGTGGCCCATGGGGCCCACCCAGCCTTTGTCATCTGACAGGGGAAGATGAGTCCCTGGCACCAACACACTGCTCGGATAAAAGAGTTATCGCGTGCCTGTGTGTGGTGCCGTTTGGTTAGCTTGCATACACTTTGTTAATGTTGAAACGCATGTGGAAACATGAACTGTGTTGGCAATGCTTGACCACAATGGCGCATGCCATTTTGGCTCAAGCTTTGCCCTGGGTTCTCTGAACCCAACTTGTGTGAAAAACCCACCCACCCACACCAAGGTCGGAGGTCATGGCGGCCAAACCCCCGGAGAAGGTCCCCGAGGAGTTCAAGGAGGACGTGGCAAAGTTGCACAAGCCACTGGCGGCCCTCCTGGTGGGGAAGGAGATCCCCTGGGCCACCCAGGCGGCTCTGGGCGCATCGGGATACGTCACGGTGGAGGACCTGGCGGATCGCTGGGACGGCGGCGGCTAGGGAGAATGGTCCCCGGGACCTGGGATTCCGGATGGGGAGAACGGGTTCAACGCCCAGACCTCGGCCTTCACGGCGATGCGCCTCCTTCAGGCAGTCCGGGTGGCAGCCAGCTTGGTCCGGGGGGGCAACCAAGGTGATCACCCGGCGGGCCAGGCGGGCCCGACAAAGGTGCCCCTGGAGGTCCTGTGTGACAGGCGCCAGCTGGAGGATGCTTACGTGACCAAGCATGAGACCCCGAAGCCGAGGTTGGAGTTCCAAGGAAATGATGGCTACCTCAAGAAGCAGTGGCGCATGATTGCCAAGGGTGAGCTGGGCTACATCCCGGCAAAACACATCGTGAGCGCGCTCCCGGAAGAGGGGGAACGCCCCTCATCCACCCACAAGAAGATCACGGTGGACGGCTGGGACAGGGAGGATGAAGAAGAGGTGAGGAGCCACCCCACATCCCGGCGCCAGCTGGAACGGTTGCACCTAACCTTCAGGACGACGCTCCTGATGTGCACGGCGGCACTGCCACAGTTTGGCAACCTGAAGGTCACCAAGGAGGAGCTGGATGATTGGTATGCCTGGTTCTATGGGGAAGACATCGCCGGCAGGAAGCCTCCCCCGAGCGACACCACCTTGCTGTTTGCAGAGCGCAATGCATGGCGCAAGATCCACGAGATGGTGCACCAGGGCACCACTCTCTCCGATGCCCTCAAGAATATCAGGGGCGACTTCCTCTTCTGGCAACGGGAGGTCTATAAGCACCTCAACAGGGCGCCGGAGAAGAAGAGCAAGGGCAAGGCACCTTTCCCCAAGCCGGGGGGCCCACCGCCGGTGAGGGGCAGAGTGGGGCTTGGAGGGCTTGGAGCCCCGGGTTATGGAGGACACGACAATGACAGCGTGCTCATGCTCCGACAGATGTACCTGACCTCGCTGGCCTACAAGGGGCTAGGTCAGCTAACGGTTCCGCAGATGGGTTCCTCCTTCTTGGAGCACCCGATGGAGTGCAGCAAGAGCCCGAGCGCAGCGAGGTGCTCATCGATCTGGGTCACGCGGGCCTACATTCAATGGGCGAGTGCACTCCACCACTCCCTCATCAAGTTTGACGAGTGCCGCCTGGGCCAGGTGGTTGTGAAGTCCACGACATTGTCAACGGACCTTCCACTTCACCACTGGCATGATCTGCGTTGCAACCACGGGGCTCACCCCAGGGGGGAAAAGCTAAACTCCAGTGACCTCAGCCGGTACCCAGAGCAGATGATGCAGGGTCTCGCCGCGGCCATCCTTTGCCGAGCGGGACCCGTCCTGGAGGCACTGAGGCCGGGGGGCACGGCGCCCCAGGCGAACCCAACGACCCCCCCGAGGCGGCCGAGGGAACCTTCTCCCAGCACGCCGGGGGACAACAAGCGCCAGTCCCGGAGGCTGAAGGCGGGCCAACAAGCGTTGGCAGGACTAACCTTGGGCTCACTCCCGGTTTCGGCCTCGGACAACCCGGAGGTCCGGACATCGACACAGAGGACTGGCGAGGCGGATAAACTTGGGGGGGGCACTCTTTCCCCGGATCCATGGGCACACCATGGCATGGAGATCTCGGATCGGCCCACCATCCTGCCGATCACGCACGACCCCAATCTCTCCGACAAGGTCATGTACCTTCAGATGGCCTTCAAACAGCGTCCCTTAAGGGACGGAGGAGGAAAGCCCTCATTCCCCTTGGACCCGGCCACTGTCCAAAGCAGCAGCGCTGGGGGCCAAGATCTGTGTCCTCACTTCGCCGTGGGGGGACAAGCTCCAGTAGTCTCTCTCGTTGGGGGATGGGTCACATCCCTTCCCAGAGGACCTGCTGGAGGACATCAGGGAGATTCTGGCGCGGGGCAGGCCGACCAGCTGACGGCCAACCCTTCTTCCTGGACATCTTGCACAGCGTGGCGCTGAACATTCAGGACCCCGACCACACCAGTTTCCCCGGGATCTGGAGCAAGGGGTCCCACTGGGGGTCACGGACCCACCCCTGACCTCGCCGGGCATCTGGCCAGCTGAAAGGGGAGGAGCCGGAGTTCCAGGAACTCCCTCACCCAACGGGCAGGGGGATCACTTCAGTGAGCTCATCAGGGGCACATTTCTGGAGGAGGTCCCAATGGGCATGGTGGAGGGCCCCTTCAGTAAGGTGGAGGCAGCATCGCGCTGTGGCTGCGAAATCGAGGACCTTTGTCCCGGCCCCCTAGCGGGCATCGACGAGGGGGACAAGATCCGCACGATCTACGATGGCTCGGTGGGTGGGGCCAATGACACCATCAGGAACCAGACGGTGGAAAGGACGACGGCTCCGACGGTGCTGGATGGGGTCCAAGCTCTTCATTGGCTACATGCGGCAGCTGCGGAGGGACCCCCCTCTCAGGGTGCCCCTGGCCCCGAGAGGGGGCTCGTCAAACCTCCACCTGGGGGCTGGCTATGGCCGGAGCCGGGCACCAGGTGGGTGCTGCTCAAGGCGGACGTCACCAAGGCCCACCGGAGAGTGGTCCTCAGGAAGGACTGGCGGTTCCAAGTGGCCTCACTGGGGGAAGAATGGTGGGTGAACAAGGTAGGCACATATGGCATGGCCAGTGCCCAATCCTACTGGGGACGCCTGGCAGCCCTTCTGCTCAGGGTCCTCTACGCCCTTTTCCCTCAAGTGGATTGGAACTTTGTCTTTGTCGATGACTTCCTGTGGCTGCTTCGAAGCGAAGGGGCAGCAAACTTGGCGGTGGCGCTGTTGGCAACACTCCTGGCCTTGGGCACCCCGCTTAGCTGGAAGAAGACGCATTTGGCGGAGGTTAACACGTGGCTGGGTTTCGTGGTCCACCCGAACATCCCGCAGGTCCTCATGGCAGCCAACAAACACATCCTGGTTATGGAGGTTTTGCAGACCATGGTGGAAGGGCAGGCGATGCACTCAAAGGACATCGAGAAGGCCCTGGGTCGCATCCAATGGGCGACGGCTGCATGTCCGCTGGCGAAGTCGATGCTCCAGCCACTTTGGGCCTGGAAGATGGCCACCACCACGGTGGGGAAACCCCCCAAGGTGGTCAGGATGCTGGCGTTCATGCTGCGGTTCCTCTTCAACACGCCTTTCGTCCAGTACTCCCCTTACTTGCCGAAGTCCTCTTGGTGGGGTTGCAGCGATGCTAGCGCCTCGGACGACGGACTGGCATTTGTGGGAGGTTGGTGCTCCAACAAAGTGGAGCCGGACAAGAAAGAGGTGTACTGGTTCCACGAGCAGATCCACGTGGAGGAGTACCCTTGGGCCTTCAAGAATGGGGATCCAAAGCGGCGGATTGCAGCTCTGGAGATGCTGGGCACGCTCTTCCTCTGTAACATGATCCTCACGCACCAAGGCCCTCTGTCCTCCCGGGTCCGACTCCCGGTGGGCAGTGACAACCAGGGCAACGTCATGGCGATGCTCAACCTTGGATCCAAGAAGCCCTACACGGCGGCGATCCTGATGGAGCTGGTCTTCCTGCTCCACACCCATGGCTGCTCGCTGGCGGCCAACCACGTGCCCCGTGAGTTCAATCAATGGGCTGATGAGCTGACACACCCAGATTTCTCTGGGTTCGACCCTTTGCAAAGGGTCCCCAAGCAGGAACTCTGCGAGGAGTTTGTTTTTCTCCCGCGTCTCCTGAATGGAGACGCTTTTGATCTCAGCGTGGGCCCACCCATGCTCCCGTGACCGGAGCCGGTGGGTGACTCACTTCCCCTGGTGGCAGACCCCCCTGTGGCCTGGGTGCCACGGGCCCCGGCTCAGGGGCGGGCGCTATCAGTCTGCACACCCGTTCTTCAGTTTTTGAGATTGTGAGTTGGGTGGCCCATGGGGCCCACCCAGCCTTTGTCATCTGACAGGGGAAGATGAGTCCCTGGCACCAACACACTGCTCGGATAAAAGAGTTATCGCGTGCCTGTGTGTGGTGCCGTTTGGTTAGCTTGCATACACTTAATGTCGTTTGAGAAAACATGTGCTCTTCCTTGACTGCAAATCACTGGGACCCCAGGCCACCAATGCCAGTGCTATCTTGACAGAGGCGTACATTCCCTCGCAAGGAAATGCACAGGTTTCTCATGCTGCTGACATCTCATGACGGATGGGAGCGTTGGAACAACTGGCATTGCTGCACAGTTCGTGACACCAAGCTGAACTGTCATGCAAGTTTCTTGAGGCTCCTCCTCTGAGCATTTGCCAGCGCCTCAGGCTTTAGAGCTTGCCCTTTGGCAGCTTCAACAGAAGCGACCTGTAAGGTACAGTACCGCTGCTCAGGAATGGCTTTCGAACAGCTGATAGCAGTCAGCAGGTGAAAAGGCCGCCAGCATTCCGCTCCCAGAAATCCGGGCCAACCGGTGTATGTGATGGCAGCCCAGCCCAACTCGGACTGGCGTTGCCGCTGATCCGGCCGACCAAACGAGCATGACTGCAAGGCGCCGTCAACTTCAGCGGCTGCAGGCAGCAGAGGCTCGCATGATTTTCCGCCATTTTGGTCCCCCTCCCCACTCCACTGCAGCAAGCTGGGAAGAAGCAGCCCCGTGATCCACAACCTTTTGTTGCAGGGCTGCCGCCCTGTGCCGCCGACCCCTGAGGCTCTCTCACAACGTCCAACGCCCGCTGTTCCTTCTTGATCATGGAAGTGAAGTATTCCAGTTCAGGAGGAAACCAAAGGAGAAACCAAAAGGAAACAGAAGGGAAGCAAAAGAGAAACCAACGTGAACTTGGCTCGGGGCACCCCCACTACGGTTCCGGCTCCTTCCGCCCGGCTGGCTAATGGCCGCTTGCAAGTTGCGGAGTCTTCTGGTCTTGAGGAGTGCCCTTCTCCTAAGCTGTCTCGTTCTGCCACTGATTCAAAGCGGGATGAGGATCACGATGATGAGGATGCCAGCATCCCAGTGACGATGACGAGGATAATGATTATGATGATGATGATGATGATGATGATGATGATGATGATGATGACGACTTAGTGATCAGTGTAACAGTGCGCCTCCCCGTTTGAAGAAGGGGACGGCGGATATAAAGGGAGTTCCCAGCAGGTTCCGTGGGCCAAAGTCAAGGGTGCAATTGCTGGCCTTGCAAGTAGCCAGAGTCTTTGAAGTTCTCCCTCTAATTGAGGCTTCCCAAGACTTTGTGCTTTGGAGCCACACTGAGCCAGGATAGCTGGGCACAGGAGCGCACTGGTCGGAACGCCCGGCATGCCATGTCATTCCAATTGAAAATACACGGGCGTCTTCCGTTTCGCTGGGCAACAGTCACCATTCATCATGCACTTGTAAAAGGGTGAGACAGGTATGCGGGTAGAAGGTCCATTTCAATTGAGGGAATGATCAATATTGACTAGAACAGACTGTCATCATCGATTCTATATCCGGCAGAATTTCAGGACAAGTTGGTCCTATCATGAGGCCTTTCAAATTTTCTGGGCCTGCGGCCTCTAGCCGGCTACGCCTCTTTGAAGTTATACCATGTCATGTCATGTTTTTTTTTTTTTATGAGAAACGTATCCTGTGCTATGATATGGCTGGTTAGGTTATGTATGTTGCCCACCCCAACCCCAGATGATGCCGGGGATGCCAGCTTTCTGGGCCCTAGCCGGGACCCAAACCAGAAGGCTGACATGAGGTCGCGCGCGCGCACGCGCGCCAGAGGCCGCAGAAACAGCAGCCCAAAAAGAACAGCCCGCAAGCCAGCCCGGAAACGCAAAAGCAGCAAAACACCGTAAATAGCAGCGATTTGTGGCTGGGGTCGCGCGCGCGCGCCAGAAGGCCCGAAAACCAACGCGAAAAAAGCAAGGACCGTGCAGCGCGCGAGCCAGCCACAGCAAAAGCAAAACGGACAAAACAACAGCCCACCGCTCAGCACAGCAGTTTTTGACGGTATTTACAGCGTTTTGTAGAGCGAGGACCCAGCATCGCCGGCATGCCCGGCAGCGCCTGGCGCCAAAATGCGCGAAAATGAGCCTCGCTTATATCCCTCCGATACCTTCTAACAAACAGTGCTTTTTGGGTTGAGAGGCTTTTTGGAAGGAAGTCTTGATGATGCAGACCAAGCCCCGCTGAAGCACCACCCAGGCCAAACCCCAGACCCTGATGATGTCAGCCACATGGCCTGCGAGGGTTGCCCACAGGCAAGCAAAAAACCGCAAGCCCGAGCTGGTGATGCAGAGGTGCCGGATTTAGGCCACGCATCACGACCAAGTGACGAGGGTCGGCGGCACCAGGGTGCAGCCCCTGAGGCTAAAGCTAGCAGGCCAATTGCCTAGCGGGGAGAGTTGGGCCCTGCCTGCTAAGCAGGTTTCCACATTTACCACGTTTGCGCCCAGCCTTGAATCCATACAAAACTATCGAAAACAGTGTTTTTTCCGCGGTTCGCCGAAAATCCTGCCAAAAATCGAGTTCGGCCGGGACCGTTGAGGCCTGCCTGCTAAGCAGGTTTCCATCGTTTGCACCCACCAAAAACCTTCAAACACTGTGTTTTTGCACGTTTTCGGCAAAATTGGCCCGACTCCCCCAAATCACCGGCGTTATCCCCAGCATCCCCCGCATCACCGGCATTATCTGCATCAATGTCCGCCATGGATGCGGACGATGCAGGTGATATGCTCAACAAGTCGTCAAAAATCGCCGAAACAAAGGCACAAATCCTTCGCCCCTTAGCAGTGAAGGCGCAGCCTCCGTTCGACACGGAGTGAACCGGAATCGACCGGGAGTGAACCGGAATCGACCGGGAGTGAACCGGAATCGACCGGGAGTGAGCCGGGAGTGAACCGGAATCGAGTGGGGGGGGGTCGGCGGCAGGGGGCGCGAGCCTTATAACCTTCGGTTAAGGGAACCGAAGGCCTACGGGGTCGTGGCGCCCGGATTTACGGCGCCGGCAGCCTCAGTTTACTGCAATCCGTACGAAGCACGGGGCAACTTGCGCGAACAGTAGTAACGCGCAGGCTGCGCAGACTTGAGCTCTCAAACCGCGGCACCGCCCGGTGACATCTAGCGATTGCACGGTGGCATGTGTATGTGTGTGTGTGTGTGTGCGCGTGTGCGTGCATCTGGACTGCCTCTGGCACTTGGTCGCTTCAGGCTTCCCCAGTTGAGCGCTCAGTTGAATATTCAAGCTTGCGGTTCTCTGCGGTGTGTGATGGAGCTTATATCAGAGGGTAGATTTGCGTACGCCATTTGAAGCTAGCGCGGCACGGCGTGCTCGATCGCAAACCATGTTTTGGTGTGCTGCAGCTGTTACGCAGCGGTTAGGAAGTACTAAGTGGTCTCGAAGATGCGGTTGAAGGCGAGCCCACGACTGCCACAGCGCAAAAATTGGGCTAGCTTCAGTGAGTGGGTGTCAAAGTGAGAAGCGCAAGTGCGGGTGCGACGTGCCGCGGCAGCCCGGCTACACTTTTCGCATGCTACGGTCTACGACAGGGTGTAACTGTCAAGGGGTGGTCTTGGGTGGGAGGCGGTGTGCGCGTGTGCTAGTCGCAGTCGCTGTGAGCTGTTAGGTAGATTCGGTTAAGCACGCGCTGCTGCAATCCGGCCCTGCGTTCGGCTCAGCAGCCTGGTCAAGCCGCAGCCCAGCTCGGCAACACTCAGCTCTTTCACGTCGATCGGGCGGCAGGCGGCGTGGCAGAGGAGCGCAAGGTGGAGGAGGTGAGCGATGAAGACGAGCCACAGGAGAAGACAGTAGGCAGCTCACCGCCAGGGACCGATGATGGGGAAGTTCGGAAAGAGGCGGAGGCCATAACGGAGGTCGAGGCCAAACAGCCACCTGAGCAAGTAAAGGAGGCGCCGAGTCGGCTTACCTGGCCAGAGCACTCACAGCTTGCAGCGGCGGAAGTCTTGCGCGAATGCGAAGCGGGGCCTGTGGAGCAGCTTGAGGCACTTGAGCAGGCGGTTCGAGCTGCTTTCCAGGAGCAAGTGATCGGCTTGATGGAGCCCAACTTTGCCCCGTCTGAGAAGCACTTGCATGAACACGGCTTACAGGCAATGCGGGAGTTTGCAGCGAAGTCCACACGGCTGGCGCACATCCAGCCTTTGGTGGCGGTCGCAAGCTTGGAGCCAGGAGCGCGGCGGCAGAAGCGACGCTGCAGCGTGCCACGGCTGAGCATCTTTCGTCGCTGCATGAGAGGCTGGAAAAGGAGTGGGAAGCACACATCCAAGAGAAGTTGTCAAAGGCCCCATATGCAAGCGAGGTTCCGGAGATGGTTGCTCGCTTGCGAGAAGTCTTTGTGAAGGACCGATACTACGAGAAGCTGGCAGAGCTGATGGCCAGTTCAACCGCAGCAGGCGCCTTTCAGCCAGGAGTGCTGGTGGAGGACATCAAAGACGACGAACAGCGAGCTCAGGCAGCCGAGCTTTGCAAGCGGCTGGGGCCCCAACACGTTCCACGCATCGAGGCTTTGGTGGGTCAGCAGTGGGAAGAAGAGGTGGTCAGGCTTAGCCTCACAGCTCTCCCGGAGGAAGCTTTGAAGGCAGCGGCAGAGGCGCATCGCAGGGCGCGATATTGGCAGGTTGCGTCACTCATTGTGGCAGAGGAGGGGCATCCTAGCTCGTCGGAAAAGGTTGAGCCCGCGAGCAGCAAGACGCTGGGCACGCCGAAGAAACGGCGTCGTTCGGGGGGAGGAGCGGCAGCTGACTGTCAGGCAGAGCCTTCTCCTGTGACTGCCTTGTCTGCCCTGCACAATCTCGCAGCCAACACCTTGGTTTCTTTCGAAACGTGGCTGCTATACGTGCCTGAGGAAGCACGAGATGTGGCTGTGCGCGGCCCGCGGAAGTCTTCTCCTGTGCAAGCAGTCAGTGTTGCAACAGTCTTGCTAGGAGATGCCACGACGCCAGTGCAGCTGACCTTGTGGCGGGACATGGCCGCACAACATTTGCCCACACTGTCAGCAGCTTACGACGCCGCAGGCGAAGATCAGTTCGTTCGCTGCAAGGTGGAGAGGGTGGAGACGATCAGCTTCCGCAAAAAAGACGGTGTGCAACTTGCGCAGGCTGAGCAGCACGCCAACCACAATCATTGCCATTGTCGGCAGCACGCCCTTTCAGATGCAGCCCGCTTCTGCCGTGGTGGTCAAGGATTTCCGCGAGCTTCGCGTGCAGGTGCCATTTACGGCCAATGTGCAAGGCGCAGTTGCTGAGGCAGGAGGAGTCACCATATCACGTTGCACAGACACGGCCATGCGCAAGTTCAAGCTCGTGGATAGTCGTGGCTTGGCAGTTCCTTGCATGGCCTTTGGTGACAACGCAGAAGACGCGGGCCTTGAGAATGGCAGTGTGGTGTATCTCTTCTTTGTGGAAGCGCGGGCGAGCAGCGACTCAGTAGCGGAGAATGATGCAGGCCTCTTGTGGTTGTATGCTGATTCGTATGTGCTGTCGCACGGGAAAGCCCAGCAGCAACCCCGCATTCTGGACGAAGTCCAGTTGCAGTAGCGCAGCTCTTTACAGGCTAGATGAGGGAGCTTAGTGTGGATAGACTTTGCGCCAGCCGACCAGCGCTGGCGCAGTGTCGTCTACGAAGGCGGCGGAGGCGTAAGAACGTGCCCGGGCCCGCCGGTTCTTTCTAGCCTGCGTCCGAGCCCTGCACGCAGGAAGCACCATGCGACCGAGAAAAGTTGTTCCCAGCGTCTCTTGTTGATCGTTGATGCGGTGATAGCGTTTGCGTTGTGAGTGCGGTATGATCAGAAGCCGGCATGCCTTCGAACACCGTGGGCGAGTGGCTCGACACGCCGGCAGGGTCACGGGCGTTCATCGTGTTCACACGTGTGCCCGCGTGCGTGCGCGGGTCCGTGTCTGTGTGTGTGTGTGTGTGCGTTTGTGTTCCGTGTGTTTGTATGGTTGCGCGCGGCATGTGTGCGTGTGTGTCCGGTCTGTGCTTCGGTGCGTGTGTCCTCGCCAATGCCGGCGCTTCTGCCGTGGCCATGGCGCGGGGGAATGTTGTCCCTTGCGGACTTGCAGGCGGGTCGCGCTGGCACACCCATGTCGTGCCAACCAACTTGGAAGCTGCAGACCGTGCGTTGCCCAGTCACAGAACCACGAATCGGACTGGCGCATGTTGCTTCGCCACTAGGGAAAGGGTCCGTGGTGTGACTTCTTGTTCTTGTGAGGCGACTTCCCGCGTGTTGTGTGCCAAGCGGTGGGGTGACCTCTTGTTGCGTGGGGTAATAAAGTTCAAGGTCGAGCGCTCGTGCTTG